AGGCCCGCCCTGCTGGGGCTCGATACCTGTAGCCAAGGGGCGGGAAGAGGTTTCCTTCCTTCCTCCCTCCGGGACGCTGAGGTGCCTACCCCGACGCTGCTCTTAAAGGGGCAGGGATGCGGCTGGTCCCAGCGCCCAGGAGGGGCTCCTTGGAGACCCCTGCAGCCCCAGCGCGCAGCGCCCCGGCTGGAAAGTGCCTTGCAAGGCAGCAGAAGAGGACCCTAGGGCGCATCTACATGTTCATTAACGCACCTTAAATACCGAAATCGGAACTCATGGCAGAGGTGCTCTCTCTTATTAGACCAACTAGACGTTTTAAAATAAATAAAACAACAGTTCTTTCTTTGCAAGCTTTCAGGCACACACCCTTCCTCTGGCACAGGAGAATGCAAAAGATTGTACAATTTCGTCTCGGTAGAAAGGAACATTTGTATTTCACGGCAGAGCTGAAGGTGGTGGAAGATCTCCTGCCTGCAATACCTCATTGTGTGCCACTTAGGTGCAGATAAAAGTAAATAAAGTACTAACTAAATGCTGTGGAAGAAACAAGCTTCACTCTATTGTTTGGTCACGAGGTTGTCAGAGACCTCTATTATACAAGCAGCTGCAGGGGAGGGCACTGGACAGACAGAGCTTCCTCTTATCAGTCCCACATGCCCCCCCACCCGGTGAAACAAGCTTTATATAGGTTTCAATTCAGGTCACATGAGACAAGATATAACAAGTCAAAGAAAAATTGGTTTGAACCAGAAAGCTGCAAGAGGGCATAGACTGTGGTTTGACCTATTGACGTCATAGGCCTACTCAGATCAAAAAAGTGAAAAGGGCAGGAGAAATGAGCAGATTGCAAAATAGGCGGGGGTGGGGGGGGAAAGCAATCATTAGCAAATAAGCACTAACTCAAGAAGTCAGCAGAAATTAAGGCCTGGGGTTTTCTTCTTCCACATTCCCCCCTTCTGTACTTATAGTACAACCAATGAAATTTTGTAACCGTGTGTTGGGCAGCAGACTGAAAGTGAGCTAATGGGAGAACAGTCTGACTTATGCATCCTTCAAGGCACAGTGAAGCTTGTTCTTAGGTAGAGTATCTTCCAGTGCTCCCTTCGAAACAATTGTGAGGCTAATCTCAGTTGACCCAGCGTCACATTAGACATATCTCTTGCGTCTTTTGCAGGATGCACTAAAGTTATAGTTGCGTAGCAACAAAAGCAGTATTTGTAGAAAAAGAATAAACCCAAGAACCATGATTGTGATATAAAATAATTTGGCCCCAAGTCGGCCAAACAAGTCCCAAAGACTCCATTGATTGGTTTGGTGTAGTTTAGCAGCTTCTTTCTCAATAATTTCGGCCTGGTTCTCAATAACGCTAGAACCATCTGGTATATAAATGAAGCATTCTGTTTTTATCAAAGCGCACACACCTCCTTTGCTAGCTAATACATAATCTAAGACGAGTCTGTTTTGTAGACTCATTTGTCTCGTTTCTTTCATTTTTTTACTTATTTCATGGAAACCAATGGCAGTAGCATTAGCTATTTTTTCTAGGCATGCTGCAACTTTCTTTATTTCAGACGTAGCTAAGCCTGTGCCATAGTTGGGGAACATTATACCCCAAAACCTTTGATTTTCTGTGATTTCACAAACGTTGCGAACTCTTCCTTTAGGTAAGTGAGATCTAATAGTAAAGGCAGGATATGATGCAGAGATATAGCATGTTACTCTGCAACCAGAAGGAAGGTTTTTATAGGCCTTATCTCCACATACAAAATAGTGACCAGCTAGTGCGGTAACCGAAAAGTTACAAACTGGTTTTAACATCCATACTGAATAATAACCTAAATATCCAGTCAAAACAGGAGAATAACCGTGTATCCAGGAACTGTTAAAGAGCCAAGCACCATTTACCTTAACTACTACTTCACACTTACTGACTCCTACTGCAACACGAGATCCATTACAAATCCAACAAAAATTCCAGGGGTGGCATACGCTAGTCGTACATAGACAGCTCGGTTACAATTTATATCTTGCCAAGTTTCGTTCCCATGAAAGGGTGAATAATAAGGAGCTGACGTTTGGGTCGCATTCAAGGGTACTGGTATCATGGGTATCCCTCCAGTAGAATGGATAGGGACATGACAACATATCCAACAATGAGAGACATTTAAGTCTATCCTAATTTGGTTAACTAAAGACAAAAACACATTCCCATAGGCCGGGTTTAAAGGTCCAATACAAATAGTCAATAGGAGGGACTCCATGTTTGGTTATTAATGGGCTCTTTTATTGGAGTCTTATTCTTTAATCTTTGGTTTTGTCAGGAGGAACAGTCTTTTTGCAGTGTGATGCGTGGATCCAAGTAGATAGTTCCCAACACTTTACTGCAGTGTTAGTGGTGAGAAGAACTTGGAAAAGACCTTTCCAGCGAGGTTCTAAAGCTGATTTTCTTTGGTGGATTTTTACATGAACCCAAAATTTCCTGGCTGCAAGGAATTGCAGGCTTCTTCAGGCTCTCTGGGTAACGCTTCTTGGATCTGTGAATGAAAGGCCTTAA